TTAATTTTATAGGGAGGGGTAATATATAGTGGGAGAATTAGTGATATAATAAGCCTATATATAGCCTCAGGCATAATTTAATGTCTGTAGTATATAGTATATCTCCAGATACACTTAGAGGGAGAGAAGTTATCTACCTAATTCATTCAGGATTCACCCAATTTCTTCTATCCATAATACAGTATTAAGATTATCCCGCACGGCCGCAATAGGGCATCAGTACGGCCTCATCCAGCATCCTCTACACCAGACAGGCAGTGTGTGTGTGTGTTGTCCAGTCTGCATCGCCAGACAGCCATCGAGCCGTTCCCATTTCAATATTTATTTCGTTCTCGACACTATTTGATTTGATACAGTACCTCCAGTATCGGAAATTGGTCGGCTCTCTCGATCTATTTCGCCTGATGTCTATTATAGCGATCCATCAGCCGCCGATAATTACCCCGATTACCCTGAAGAGGTCGCGTTTTACCCTTTCAAGAGTTAGTAGTACTCCCTCCGTGACTGGCCTAGATAGACCTAGGACAACGAGAGTCTTCGACGTCTTTGAGGATGATCACACAAGGCAAAGCGGCGAGCATAATCACACGCAGTTTACTGCTAACAGAAGGAAGCGAGCCTTAGAAGTTCTAAGCAATTCTTCCCCTAAACGACTCCGGTACCCGAATTCAACCGCCATGAGTGCGACTAAGTCACGAAGAAGACGAGCGAGTTAATCAAAAGCCGAAAGTTCGTCATTTAAAAGCGAAGAGGGCTATGCAGATAACTATCTCTCCGGGCCAAGGAATACGATCTAATATCTGAAGCGATTTTATAGCCTAGCCATTGCTGAGGCCAAGTTCTATGATAATCTCGCCGATGCCGATATCCTTAAAGAAAACCTCGCGGTGCTTCAGCTTATAACAAAAACGCTATAGCACGTATACGGTATTATTGCAATAAGCACTGTAGCAATAGATAATCCTATTCGATAAGCTACGACTATATAAGCACGGCGAAATATCACGTGTAGGAAGTGGTCCGTCGAAGACGAGCGCCGATTAGTGAAGCTGAGAGACTCCCGAAAACTACTATAGAGTTATATCCGCGATTCGTTCCCTACAAGAACTCTGAGCGAAGTCAAATAACGTTTTATCCGTAAGACTTCTAAGCAGACCGAAACCCCTTCTAGTAACGAAAGCCACTTAATCCTCTCTAGTCGGTATATGAAGTGCATATCGAATATCCGAAGAAGCCAGAGGCTAGGCCGACCTCACCAAATCAAGAATACAAGGAGCGACGCCGAGTGTCATCGAAGGTATCCCTCGCGTGCAGTGAAGCATTTTGGTGATTCAAATGCACTAAGGCTAGATTCGATCGATCCCCGACTTCGAAACCTCGGTAAGCTCTAAAATTCGTCTACTGAATTTCCCGATGATAAAATCTATAAATAAACTCAAAAATCTAAATGGCAAAAATTTCGCTATTGATGCATCCGGTGCTACTCCGTTATAGGTAGGAAGGTTATGCATTCATTGGAGTTGATTCAGACACTAAAGCTATGATTAACGAGCAGAGACTTTTTATTAATTACACTTTCTGACCTGTTGACGTAGAAATTCGAGGGGAAGGCCCGTGGACACTTAGGAGTTTCAGCATTTTTCTCTCCAATAAGGGTCGTAACTATAGGGAAATGCCAATATTTCTAGGTTGCGTACGGTAGAGCTTTTGTTCACGGATGAATTTGCAAAGTAGACCAAGAATTATAAATCCGCAACAGATGGACTGTATTCCCTCTGAATGAAAGACAATCTTTGATGAGCCTTTCATATGTCTAGTGGAACAAAACACATGAAAAGCATTTATTTTGAGTAGATCTGAGATTGTAGCATGCATATTAGGGGTATTCCGTTTATCAGGAGACCTGAGAGGACCCGGCGTAGAGGATAAAGAGTTAGTAGGCTCCTAGCAAAAGGCCTGCCCGCTCCTGGGAGAGTCCCCGCTCCTAGGAAGGCAACCTGTATTCCCGGGGCCTTAATGATATGCTCCCGGGAGACCTGATAGCGATCCTAGAAGCCATTGATCTCCTAGGAATCCTTGAAGGCTTAGGTATACTTATCTGGCTTCCCACGTATTATCCTGATGGGATTGACTAAATGTCTCTAATATGCCCTATGCTATGTAGATAACTCTGTAAGCTCACTAAAGAAATGTGAATTGCGGTCTACCGTAGATCTGGCCTAGCTACACAAGGCCAAGAGAAAATTAAGGTCACGAACCAGTCTCTTACACAGCTACAGATGCCTCGCATAGCCACTCGTATTTGTATTGATAGATTTCCATCCTGGTATCATCATAATGAGTATGTTTCAAATCAATATCTAATGGTCCTGCCGATTGAATTGGGTCCGACTCGGGCATATCCAGCCACTCATCATCATCAGTTGTTACCCAGGTGTTGTTAGAGCGAATGTTTATGTTAAGGAAATCAGTTTCATCACATTAACATCTTTGAATATCCTCCAACCCCTATTTTCAATTACACTATATTTTTCTCGTTACTTGGCTTCCGATCCCTTGTTCTTAGCAGTAAAGCGAGTACGGTAATCAACAGTATCATAAGTAATATCTTACCAAGTCTGCATACTCGGCAGGGTATCTAGACCAAAATGACCTAGCACCTGTAATCATAGGTCCCCGCTTCTTTTACGTTTCTTTTGTTTTTACGAATAGCTCTACTTTCACATTCTCAGTGGCGAATAACTCACCGTTGCGGAGGCGAAAATCCAATCATGTGTTTGAAACCTAGCAAAAAAGAAAAAAACTAACACTGTCTGTGCAACGCAAGGAGCAATGAACTGCTTACGCTCCATCGGCTTAAAGCCCTCTCGAACGATCAACAGGGGAAGCTACATTTGATTGAAGGAGCCTCTGGATTTCTGACACTTGAACACCTCCCTTTTAGCAATTCATACGTTTATCAACACTTTTTCATTTATCAACGCTCTTCACTTTACCGGCATCGAACAACAAAGCAAGATGATCATATTCAAGTCTCGACCGGGAAAGGCCACAGCGAGAAAATGCAAAATTCGTTGAAAACGCGAGGTGTAGAGGTTTAAGGCTTGACGTCCCTTTGATTGCAATCTATTGCCAAAAGGGGGCACGTGTTTGGGCACCAGATTCGCGTGGGCGATCATGAGGCGGACGACAAGACTATAGTCGATGGCCGGACTGGGTCGGTGTACAAGGGTCTCAGTCCGTAAGGAGTAGGGGCGCGGCCGTAGAGGTGAGATATGGTTGGTCGTTGTCGAGATTTGATTCCACTAGAAGGGAACAGGCTAGATCTATTGTGGACTTGGGCCCGTCTCGTTAACCACCTCTCTGTTAACCTCCGTTTAACCACCACTCTGTTTAACCACCACTCTGTTTAACCACCACTCTGTTTAACCACCACTCTGTTTAACCACCACTCTGTTTAACCACCACTCTGTTTAACCACCACTCTGTTTAACCACCACTCTGTTTAACCACCACTCTGTTTAACCACCACTCTGTTTAACCACCACTCTGTTTAACCACCACTCTGTTTAACCACCTTTAACCACACTCTTTAATTACACCCTTGCTACACCGTTTGAACGCCTCTCCACTTAACCACGTCGTTTAAGCACCTCTCCGTTTAAGCACCTCTCCGTTTAAGCACCTCTCCGTTTAAGCACCTCTCCGTTTAAGCACCTCTCCGTTTAAGCACCTCTCCGTTTAAGCACCTCTCCGTTTAAGCACCTCTCCGTTTAAGCACCTCTCCGTTTAAGCACCTCTGTTTATCCACGCCGTTTAACCACACCGTTTTAGCACTCCTCTGTTAAACCACCTTCATTGATCGTCTAAATTTTACCTATCAAGACCATAACCATTTCCATTCAGGGGTTCACGCTTTGCGGCTGGACTCAGAGTGACAGAAAGAATGGCCGACTTCTTCTTACACTTATCTGACCGTTTCAGTATATCATTTGCCCGGGAGAATCAAACAGTGTGCTGGATAGTATAGTAGTATTCGAAATCAGATTTACCTCTACACTCTTAGACTTTCATTCCCAAATCCTAGCTTGAAACACGCTGGTCTAATTTTAGCCATTCCCTGGTAATCCCTGTTAGACTGTATTATACATAATACAGCACTGAGATGACCATACCACACTCACCATCACGTCATTGCATCTGACACAAACATCCTGAGCTACCGAAAGATCGCCCGAAAGCTTGATCCCTGGAAACAAACATATATTGAAGTAGGAATGGCTCGATGGCTGTCTGGCAATGCAGACTGGGCATCACACACACAACCACTCCCTGTCCGGTGTAGTGAACGGTCTGGATGAGGCCGTGCAGATGCTTTGTCGAGGCCGAACAGGCTATTCTTAATGCTGCATCATGAATGAAGAAATCTGGTGACAACCTGAATGAATTGGGTAGATGATTCTTCTATCTCTCTTCTCACGACATGTATCAGATCCTCTATGGATATATTCTGATTGATATAAACAGTCCTCTTATGCATGATACCTCAAGCTGCAACCGCATTCATTATGTCATGCATTTCACCACTACAATATGTGACGCATGACTACCTTGGGGACTGAGGGGGAACGTGATCTGGAAAGAGCCGTTGGGCTAACCCGATTTGGGATAGAAGTGGTTTTGTTTCGTAGTTGCTCGTTTCCCTCTTCTCTCTTCTTCTTCTCTCCAGTTTAGTTGCTTCTGTTAATGATACACGAATTCTTCTTCGTCCTGGTCGGTAACACAATATATGATACAACGATAGCTGCAGACTCGACAGATCTCAAAATGCGACTGTGGCAAAGGGTAGTGAGCATGAATACATGCAATCGTTCGACAAGTCAGATCTACCCTAGCACTTCACAAGGAGCCATTTTTTTTAAAAAAAAAAACAGAGTATTAGGCACTGTCTTGCAACTGCAATGCTTAATGTGTTCAACGTCTCCGCAGGTCACTGAGCCCTATCGTGATCTAGACCCAGGGCCTTCTCCTTGCCTGCCAGTGCTCGCTGGTATATCTCTTCTGCCTCCTTCAGCTTGCCTTGAGCCTTGTAGAGACCCCCTAAGGTTGTTGACTGTATTGAGAGTAGATGTATGATCAGGACCTAGGGCCTTCTCCTTACCTGCTAGGGCTCGCTGGTACATCTCCTCTGCCTCCTTTAGCTTACCCTGATCACAGTAGAGAACACCAAGGTTGTTAACTGTATCGAGAGTAGATGTATGATCAGGACCTAGGGCCTTCTCCTTGCCTGCTAGTGCTCGCTGGTACATCTCCTCTGCCTCCTTTAGCTTACCCTGATCACAGTAGAGAACACCAAGGTTGTTAACTGTATCGAGAGTAGATATATGATCAGGACCTAGGGCCTTCTCCTTGCCTGCCAGTGCTCGCTGGTATATCTCTTCTGCCTCCTTCAGCTTACCCTGATTGAAGTAGAGACCCCCAAGGTTGTTGACTGTATTGAGAGTAGATATATGATCAGGACCTAGGGCCTTCTCCTTGCCTGCTAGGGCTCGCTGGTATATCTCTTCTGCCTCCTTTAGCTTGCCCTGACTGAAGTAGAGAACCCCAAGGTTGTTGACTATATCGAGAGTATGTATATGATTAGGTCCTAGGACCTTCTCATATCCTACCAGAGCTCGCTGGAACATCTCTTCTGCCTCCTTCAGCTTGCCTTGAGCCTTATAGAGAACACCAAGGTTGTTGACTGCATTAAGAGTAGATGTATGATCAGGACCTAGGGCCTTCTTATATCCTGCCAGAGCTCGCTGGAACATCTCCTCTGCCTCCTTCAGCTTGCCCTGGTCAAAGTAAAGATCCCCTAAACGAAGGAATGCCCACCATATCTCAATATTATCATCTGACCAATCTAGATGATATACATGATTGGCGTGTGGAAGAAGCCGTTGCTGAAGCTCTGAGTAGACCCTATCACTTTCACTGGGCACAGAGTATCCAACAGATATTAGTGCTAGCTCATTAAGCTGCGACCAATTCACATTTTTGTCTGTGTTGGCAACATGAAGGCACCAGTCTTGTACTACTGGGTGTATCGCATAGCTTCCTTCTTGTTGCTTACTCTCAAGAAGAGAGAATCCGATGAGAGACTTCACACCAATTTTGAACGCGAGTCCACTTGATATAGCCTTTTTGAGCCAGTCCGGGACGTTTGGGCTATGGCAGCCACTCTTCACTAACTCGTACCAGATATCATGATTATCAAAACGAGCAAGTAGCAATAGAAGGTGTGCTGCGCTTGGGTCACGCTTCTGGATCTCAAGATATGAGATCGTCCATGTTTGCAGTATATTGCCTTGCTGGTACTGACGACCAGGATTCGATTGCAGCTGTAGCTCAGACCAAGATTCTTGGTAGTACTGTAAGTACTCAGTGATGCTGGTTCCAGTTTCACGCATGAACGCCCCGGCGATAACAATAGCTAAAGGCAGTCCATCCAGACGATTAGCAAGAGTAAGGACATCTATATATATTAGCATAATCTATAATATCTATTCATTAAGTGCTATAGTACCTGGATTGCTGTCAAGTTTGCTAGTGGTGTTCCTTGCTGATAGTCCACTGCTTTGTAGGAGTAGTTGAATTGAGCTATAAGAGTCAAGCCTGTGAACCGGGAAAGGCTTTCCTAGCTCAGTCAGGTCCTGAAGTCGAGAAGTGATAAGGATGGAGCCATGGTCTGGTTTAGGGAAAAATTCCCAAATATCATATCTATCACCAACAGCGCTGTTAAAGGGGGAGTATTGATCGATGTTGTCAAAAATGATTAGCCAGCGCGAGTTGCCATCCAATGCTAGCCAACGTAACATATGCCTAGCTCGTTGCTCCACTTCTCCGTCATTAGTGGCCTCGCTATCCCAACCCTGTCCTGGTATTCGGTTCAAGGCAAAGCTTAACGATTGCAAGAGCGCATGGCGATCCTTGCCACTTAGCCAGAAGATGGCCGTAAAATGATCTCTATGATCTCGCGCGAAGCGAATCGCTAGCTGCGTCTTTCCCATTCCGCCAAGCCCGTGAAGAATTGCAACTTTCTGAGATGGAGTATCTGTCGGTTGTAAATACTGCCATAGATTGTCTAGCTCGTCTTGCCTTCCCACGAAATTTGTAATTACAGGCACTGTGGTAAGGTCTAGAGGGACATTGAAGCGGTGGACTACACCCGGAAACTTTGATTAGTCATGGATTCGAACTAGGCAATGAGTGATATAGTTTGAAACTTAGGATCTCTCACCAGAATCTGCTAGCGTGTCACTTGCTGTTAGAGTAGTTTCAATCTGATCGATCGGAACCACCAAGACAAGTTCTTTAGCATAGGCTGCTGCCACCGCTGCCGCATATCCTTGCCATTCGTTGTTCTTGTGGGAGTCAGCATAGTCACAGATACCTCGAATCACTAGGCAAGGAAAGTCATTCATGAGCCCTGCAGCTTCCATTTCCACACAGAGGACCCCTAGGTCTCGAGCTAGCTGGTCTCGCCGTCTAGCATCTTTCACTACCTGATTTGCAGATGCAATCAGTCCATAGTGGATCACTGGTTCTTTATAGTCTCGTGAAAGCCGCGGAGCCATTTTAGATCGATCACAATCGATACATGTATCAGATCCTCTATGGATATATTCTGATTGATATAAACAGTCCTCTTGAGTGGGCCGTGTAAAAAGTTGCAGCTCTGCGCGGGGTCGTTTTGACTTGGGCGTCAGAGATAAATTCAGAAACTCGACTATCGTCTGTGAAGTGGTGGGCTTGGAGGGTAGCGAGGGCAGTCAGCAGGACCTTAGGTGGCCGATTAAGCATCCCCGTCCGCTGAAATTGACCGCCGCTTAACGCTTTACCGAGATCGTATTGGATCACGCCTCCGGATGTTTCTGCTGGCTGGCTCACCACAATATCGCCTAGGCGAATGTCTGCGTTGCTGCTTGGTACACCTCCACCGATACCGACCATAAGGCCAAATCGGATAGAGTGGAAGCTAGAGAGCAACTGCGTCGCTACCGTTGCAGCTGATACAATGCCATATGCGCCACTTGGTAAACAGGCAATAACAATATTGTGTTCCTCGATGTTTCCAAGAATATACGTGTTTTGGTCTGTCGGTGGGCGAGGTAGATTCGGGTGTATTGCGTCCAACATTAGCTTTGCGGCTGCCATCTCCAGGGGTAAAGCGCAGATCCATCCGACCGTGTAATCGTCATGGCATAGAGAGGCCCTAGCTGCCATGATGGAATATATAATGGTGGATTTTGAGACAAATTATCCTATCGTGAGTTCATGGTAAACATGAGATGAACAAATATGTGTGCAGCCTAGGAGAATGCCAGAGTTCATGAGAAAAGGGGGCGGCGGGGTTAATAGGTGAGGCTGACGCACAATACTCTCAAGACCAATCATTTTTTGCGGTGGAAAAGGAAAATGTTGACAGATTGCCTACTCAAAGACCTCGATGTTTGCTAGGTTTGCATGGAATCTTCTAGTCCAGGCGTCTAGTTCTAAGCTCCTAGTATTTATTACCTGGTTAGGTACAGAACGTCTTATTCACGTGCTATCTACATATGGGATAGCGTGTCATGTGAGTAGAGGTTGAAAGCTGACCTCTCTGTTCCCGACATGGAAGGCGATACCGGTCGCTACTATAAGCAGTCTTCGTCTATGCCAACCAGAACTTGGGTTCAATATCCGCAAACTTCTATCTTCAAGCCTGAGTGTCGGAAGTGATCTCTTGCACTCTCTTTCTTTGCACCAACGGTGTCAATACACCATGAGAGGAATACATTAAACCCCTTGATCGGGATATTCTTCATAATAACTCCAATTGTTTGATAAAGCTTCTTAGCTCAGCAAAAAACTCCTCAATCGGATTCAAGTATGATGAGTAAGGCGGCGGGTATACCAGTTTTACCCCAGCGTCCGCGCACATCTGCGAGATTCGTTCTGAATGATGGAATGATGCATTATCCATGACCACAACAGATTTAGGTTCCGGCCATCGTCCGCCATGCTAAAGAAGCTGGGCTAAAAAACCTTCGAAGACAGCGCCGTCGGTTGAACCGCGGAATACACGCGAGAGGACGATCCTATCCTACGAATAGGTAGGTAGTATTTGATATCGCTGGTCGCGATGGAACTAGACCTGGCACTCACCCGCCCCGCGGGTCCAAAGTCAGGAAGCTCCACCCGCACCTCCGAGGGTCAGGGTCGGTGAGTTTGGAACCTGACCCTGACCCTGACCCTCAAGGGTCCCATGAGGGTCACCCGCGGAGGGTCTAACCGACCCGCGTAATACACACTTTACCTATTTAGGGCACACCTTACTATTCTAGGATAGATGACTAAGTGGATTGACACCTAAAATATGACTTTTCGCCTAAAACGTGACTTTTTGGTCTGAAAATCAGACACGTGGGGACCCTGAGGGTGACCCCGAGGGTGGGAGGGTCGGGATGTTAGACCCTCCACCCGCCAAGAGGAGGTGCGGGCGGAGGGTCCGGAGGGTCACCCGCGGGTGAGTGCCAGGTCTACACACGGATAACAGAGAGAATAGGCTACGACGGTATGCCTGATTGTCTGCCCTGAGTGCCCTGAGTGAGGGTGAGCTGATCCCTGAGCACTCAATGAGCGCTTAGTGAGCACACTGTAACAGAGAGCCGAAACAAATCACGTGAAGCTTTAATGACTAATATTCTGGTAAATAGGACGCTTAAAACGGCGTCAAAGGTAGCCTTTTTCGGCGCCCAATTTACCGTCACTGAGCGTTGGGGTGTAAGGTATTTACTTCTGCTACCCCTTTATTAGCTTAATAGCTTACTTTTATTTAGATTAATAGTTATTAAGTACTTGTCTAAGAAAGGCTTCTAGTGTGATAACAGGGCCTTCTTGTTGCTGGGAAACGGTCACGTTACCCAACTTTTTCTGCCGTACGGACCCGCATTGGTCCGCACGGCTACCATATATCTACTCCTTCGTACACTTACTGAATAGAACACACTTTCCCACCTCCAGAATCTTATCTGGTAGTATATCCTTGCTTGGCTAAACCTTCTACGGTTGGCCGGGAACGGAAGTATTACTATTGGATATGCCTCTATTCCTATAAACGATCCCTTCTTAAGCGACTGATTGAGATTAGACATTGACATAACCCATGGGTTGGGTCCATGGGTCGAACCCAACCCGTCCATGGACGGGTCCTGGACACCTACCCCGAACCCATGGACGGGTCAGGTCTGGCTGCCCATGGACGGGTTAACCCATGGGTTTCTTGGCAACCCATAGTACCGTAAGACATAAGTTATATAATTTATGTAGTATTTAATATATTAGAGTGGTAATATTTAGACAGAATATTACCGCATTTATTTAGGAAGTGAAGATCAAGTGAAGATCAAGTGAGATTAATTAAATACTAAACTATTTACTAATTTCGAACCCTTTATATATCCTCGGCGCCTTCCTTACCCTTCCAGAATGCCGTACTTGGCTCATTAAGGGTAAACCACTATTATTATTATCACTTTGCTCACTTTTATGATCAGACAAAACACTCTTTCGTCTCTTCCCTGCCCTCACAGATAGCCTCACTTTATCGTCACCTTCCTTAGTATCGCTGATTGGATCAATCCCTTCTAACGAAGGTGAAATCTTCTTATTTTTACCTTCTTCAGGGATCTCTAGAGCCCGAGCTAGTTCAAGCTATTTATCTTCTATCTCAAATTAAGTAAGGCAAGAGAACATTATTAGATCCTAGATAGTTGTTGAGTTCAGACGACCTTGGCGATAATAACAAACATCGCGGGCTAAATTAAATAGCCTCTCTACCCCCGCACCAGTAGCGGGAATAGAGAAGATATCGCGGGCTACCCGTGCGAGGGTAGGATATTCAAATTAATGGTCTCTCCAGAAGGCCTAAGGGGTAGTGCGTATAACACCTAAAGAGAAAGAGAAGTAAGCAAAGAGGGTAAAGAGGCTTAATAAGCGAGTAAGCCTTTAAATAGGAGTTAATCGGACTCGGGGGAGGAGTCAATCAGACTCGTGGAAGGAGTCGATCAGACTCGTTAAAGGAGTCGATCAGACTCGTGGGAGTAGTCGCTTAGACTTAATAATATAAGGGATTAACCTTATAAGAGGAGTTGACCTAACTAAAAAGAGGAGTCGACCTAACTGAAAAGAGGAGTTGGTCTAACTTAAAAGTGGAGTCGAGCTGACTTAAAAGAGGAGTGGAGGAGACTTAAATAAAGAGGCTTACCGGCTTAAAGATACCGTGCGAGTTCATCCCGGTCTAGGTTAGATTCACCTTTATCTTCGAGTAACCGATTAAGTTCCGACCCTTATATATAAGCTTTAGATAGAAGGGTATTATTCTCTTCGAATTAATAAGCTTTAATCCGATCTTAAAGGGTGCTATGATAGTGTTCGGCCTATATCTGAGTAGAGCCCTCTGGCCCACTAAACTATTCCTTGCGTTTAAAGTACTATAACTTATCCTTTGGTGCGAGGATAGTGCTATGCGTATATATATTACTAGCCTTAGGCTAATCGGTCTTTGCGTAGTACTTACGGAGCTTCTATAGGCCTGCTTTAAGAGCGATAAGTATCTGTTACTTCTATTTAATCTAATATTCGTTAGTATAAGGGTAAATAAAAAGTAAGAGAGAAGTGAGAGAAAAGTGAGAGCGTACCTTCTTCTTTTTAAGCTAACTAATTAATGCCTCGAGGTGTTTAAATAGCTTATTGTAAAGCTTAAACACCTAATAGATAGTCACGTCTTTTATCTTTAAGAATATACTTATATATAGGAAGAATAGTCTTATAAGGCAAAGAAGATAGTTAACCTATCGCTATTCCTCGGAATTAAGCTTTAGGTTATCTAGGCACTTAATATAGCAGTACCTATTAAAGTATAGCTATAGTCGTTTAGCTCTTTATAATATTAGATAGGTGGAATTCCACTGTGTTCGGATATCCTAAATTAGGATTAATTAACTAGGTTCTATTGATTGAAGCCTAAGGAATTCCGCACGCCTTTATAGGCTTCTATTAATATATATTGTAAGCCGGCGTACCCTATCGAGGGTGTTTATAATATCCCCTTTCTGTCCTCGCTAGGTAGAAGCCTTCTATAGCTTATCGGTCCACACTATATTCACTATATCGTTCTTTGGCTTTGCTTTGATCCGATATAGGAGCTTATTAAGGCTAAGCTGAATCACATACGCCATATACGGAATATAAATAATAGAGATATCTGGATAGGTCCGTTAGACCTTATTAAATATTGTCTTATTGTTAGATGTATTATCAGTGGTGATAGCTAGAATCTAATCTTTAATCCTATGTCTGTCAATAATAGCATATAGGGCTAAAGCAAGGTTCTCCCCAGTATGTGTACCCTCGAGGGGTTCGAAACCGAGTAGGATCTGCCTATATTCCCACTATTTATTAAGGAAATACCTAGTGATAGCCATAAACGCCTAATAAAAGGGCGACGTCTAGCAGTTAAGTGTAAGTGATAGCTTTGTGTCTGACGGAAGCATATTTAGTATACCTTACTGTTAGATTTAGACGGTGCTTTAAAGCTAACGAGCAAGGGTTTTACCCGTTTAGATAATAGGGAGGGAAGGGGCTTATTAGGTTAAGCGTAAAAGGTCTCGAAAGTGCTAGTTTTCGATAATCTGGAATAGTAGACGAAGGCTAGTAATTATAACCAAAAGCTACTTCTTCCAATCGTTTTTATCCTATACGTCGGGCGGGGGAGCGCATAGAGCCTAGTGATTCAAATAAAGGAGTATTAGTCTTACTTCTCTTTCACTTTTCTTTCACTTCTCTTTTACTTCTCTTTCACTTCTCTTTCACCTTTGTCTTACCTAGGTACGGATAGCCGCCTAGATATTTCTCTGTTTCAGCTTACCCTTTAGTAGGTATCTTTCTCTATGCCTTATTATAATATTCGTCCTATTTTTAGGACTATACGTGTAGATCTGGCCACAGTCCTTACAGGTAATACATAGTCTACTAGTAGAGATCTCTGCGCCCTATTTAAAGTATGTCCAAACCTTAGATATTAAGCCCCTTTTATCCCACCGGGGATATTCCGCTCGTGGTTTCTGCCTATATATTATTATAAGCCACTATTAGATAAATATAGCCTTATTCATATCGGTCTATAGGATATAGTTTCTCTTAGGTCCGACGCGTTTAAGGATCGGTGAGGGCTCGGTAGTAATAGGCGCGGTAGACTAGCTTTTAGGAACCGAGAAGGGTAGGATAGAGAAGCAGCAATCAGATAGAAGAGGGTCGATACTATCACTCGTGATAGAATCAAAGTGTTCAGATAAGGATCTAGCCATAATAACGCGAAAGAACGTAAAAGTAAGGGTGAAGTAGGGAGGAAGTGAACTATAGAATAAATAGCGGGTAGGACTATACACGCGTTAATTGGTTATAACGCGTGTTAAGCGGGTCTTTTGATCTGATATCATTAGTCTAATCCTTAGGCACGGACCCACATACCTATTCTGCAGAATCAATCTCTCTAAGGCTATGAAAGGATTAGTCTTTATCTTCACTACTCACGCAAATCAAATGTATAAGCTCATAAACTAGGAGATAAAGTAGAGATATATATAGATAATACGTACACAAAATATCATAGCTTAATATTGACATTTGGGTGAATTAAAAATTAAAGAAGAATCTCTAACAGAAAGTGGTAGTACACTTATCTACGGGAATTATATATTTCTGCTCTACACCACTAATATAGACACAACTACCCTATTATAGACGATAATAATTAGTCTTCTTTATGCGACCGATACAAAACGTACTAGTCTAGCTATAAACGATCATATTTCATATAAATACAGTAGGGAAGGATAAAAAAAGAGGGAATGTTATGCGTTTAGACCAGAACTAAGGTAGAAAACGGTAAATAAGCTAAAAATTATGCAAGAAGTTCAGGCTGAATCAGGCCAAATCAGGCCAAATCAGGCCGAAAATCCTAAATCAGGCAGGATTAGGTGTCCATGGGTTGCCTATGGGTTAACCCAACCCAACCCATGGACGGGTCAGGTTCCGCTGCCCAAGCGTGGGCAACCCATGGGTTGGGTCATGGGTCGAACCTTCTGCCCATGGACAACCCATGTCAATGTCTAATTGAGATCGCTTACGTGCGATGCCGAAAGAAATCCGAAGTTCTCTCTAATTATTCTGGTCGCTATCGATAAGAACACAAATATATACGCCCACGAAATAGCGGTGTGAGGAAGTTACGTACTAGAAGGATCAGCACCGAAATAACCCGCTAACTAAGGCTATAGACGGCAGAGATTGGTCAGAGAAACTTATATTTAATACCTATTATTGGAATATAGACCAATGCTACATAGAAAGATCTATCCTTATATTCAACATATAAGACCAGATTGCATTGATCACGTGACCAGTTTTTTTCTTCTATCAAAATGATATTTTGACCACTTCCGATCCTGGTCCGCGGCCCTCCCCCAAACGATAGGCGGGACCATTTTCCTTCAGAGGTAAATGGTCCGCCTTCAGGCATGAATGGTCCGTTCCTTCGGGGGTGCCTTCGGGCATATCTTGCCCGCGGACTTCGACCATGGTCTTCGGACCTCGGTGAACAGACTTCGACCCTCAGTCCCCTTAAGGATAGGCGGACCACTTTCCCTTAGGGATAAAATGGTCCACCTTTGGGCATGCATAGCCTGATACTGCGGGGAAGCTTTCGGGGTGGCTTAAACCGTCGATCCTTGACATCATTCTTTTCGCTTTTCCTCGGTTCCCTTCTTTGCCACCTTCATTATATTGCTACCTAGTATTTGTATGTTATTCTAGACGTCATTTCTAGGCTATCCTAGCCTATAAATATGTCCTTCTTTTCTAGCAGAAAGAATCAAGTCAGTTCTACTTTCCTGAAGTCATTTTCCACTTTCCAAAGTCATCTCTACCTTCTTCCTTTGATCCTTAGGACTGTGGTTCTGCCTTCGTTTAGGCTATATCTGCTTATAGTCTATCCTACGACCTTTGACCTTCTACCTTTTGTCTGGCACCGACTGACCCAGCCGGACTAAGGTTGATCCCACGGACTTAAGGGGCCACGATCTGCTTCGTGGTAGCTTTCCCCTTATATCCCAACAATAGGCGTACCACTTTCCCTTAGGGGTAAAATGGTCCACCTTTGGGCATGCATAGCCTGATCCTGCGGGGGTGCTTTCGGGGTGGCTTAGACCGTCGATCCTTGATATCATTCTTTTCGCTTCTGTTCGGTTCCTTTCTTTGCCACCTTGATTATGATGCTGCCTAGTGTTTGTACGTCATTTGTATGTCATTCTAGACGTCATTTCTAGGCTATTCTAGCCTATAAATACGTCCTTCTTTTCTAGCAGATAGAATCAAGTCATTTTCCACTTTCCAAAGTCATCTCTACCTTCTTCCTTTGATCCTCAGGACTGTGGTTCTGCCTTCGTTTAGGCTATATCTGCTTATAGCCTATCCTAAGACCTTTGACCCTCCACCTTTGTCTGGCACCGACTGACCCAGCCGGACTAAGGTTGATCCCACGGACTTAAGGGGCCACGATCTGCTTCGTGGTAGCTTTACCCTTAGAGCCCGACATATAGTAAGAACTAGTTCTAGACTAGTTATTATTTACTTACTAACTAGTTCTAGGCGTTATCTATCCTTAGGGTTAGGAAAGAATCTAGAGCTATAGTCTTTATAATATAATATTTTAGACCTTTATCCCACTTTTTCCTAAGAGATACCTATATCTAATCTTTTACTCTCGTGGAAGGTATTTGTCAGCATATTCAAGGACTGTCAGCATTACCTTTAGTCATTCAAGAAGACTATGATCTTTATAATTGGTTAGGTAAATACGAAAAGCCACCTAATTATAATTGGTCTATTAAAAGGTGTTCTATGGATAGACTATTAATGATACCTTGATATAGGTCTAGACTATTGATGATACCTTCACATAGGTCTAGACTATTAATGATGCCTTGACAATAGGTCTAGACTAAAAATGATGCCTAGACTATAATTGATTTCAAAACAAGACAGGCCTAGACTTAAAATCATATAAGTCTATTATAGGCCTAGAATATTGTTGATTGGATATAAATATGTCCGCAATTCTCTACAAAGAAAAATTTAATTCTTCTTCAATCATCATATCATACCCTAAGGTTTCCTATTAAGGAAATATCCTTTTATTCATCGAAGGATAAAAGACTTGATCTACTATTAGATCTTCCACTGGATCTCCCACAATTCTGAAGGGGTAAATAGATATTTTCGCGCTAAAAAATATTATATAAGCTAGAATCCTGGGTCCCCTTAAAGTGCGAGACATCGTCTCCAAAATCTCAAAGGCTAGTAGTTAATTCATTTTTCGGAACGCGTCGCGTAGGAAGACGCGCTTGGCTTCTTTTATAATACCTCTACCAGATTAATAGAGCTATTGGTAGATAGAGGTAATTAGCCGTAGTGATTAGTTAAGAACGCACGGACAATTTATATATAACAGTACACTAGGTTCCTACCGTCTACCGAACCTTTTACTATGGGCGCACGGACAAAAAGCGTGTAATAGTATGCTATTCCTAAGGGAATATTACAGTAGTCTTTCCAATGTATGCTACCTCCATAGTTGGATTATTGCCATATTAATTTAAGTTTCTAATACTGAGTGCATTAGCACGAAGATAAATCATTGATATCCTATGATACTTTTCTTATATGACATTCATCCCACATAAGACATAAGTCATAAGGCTCGCATTACAACATTGAATTCAATACAGCAGGCTACACACTCTCATATTTTGCAAACACAGTCTTTTCCACCTCAGCAAACTCACGCATGATAGTCTCTTTCCGCTTCTCAGAGCGTGGGGTGATCTTGCAGGCATATGGTTTCGCAGTGATCAAAAAGCCCTCAGTGTATGCTGTGACAGGATTGATGTCGGTCTCAATGGGCTTGCCAGCCCCGTCAACAGCTTTCTCAAATTTGAATGCCCAGAGAAGCTTGCTGATCCCCAAGAAGATATTTCGCTCCCCTAGGTGTATTCCTGGGCATAAACGGCGCCCGTTCCCGAACGAATAGTGATCGCGATTCTCATAGTCGGCGGAATTTGCATACTCAGAGGCCAGCATGTGGTAGCCTGCATAGTGGTCTGGATCAAACACATCGGGATTTGGATATCGTTTTTCGTCATGGTGGATATCCCACGCGCTGGTGAAAATGGCGGCCCCTTTGGGCAAGAGCTTGCCATCAATCCATTGGTCTGGGGTTGTTATCAAGGTTAATGATCGCAACGTTCTGAAAGGAATCAATGAAAGCTCTTACCTTGGGTTAGTACATGAGGTATTCCCAGGCCGCCGACTGAGCGCCAACGCTGTGCTTCCTTGACAACCTGGGTTACATAGGGTAAATCCGCGAAGTCAGACCAGGTGGGTGTACGACTTTCATCCACCACGCGGTCGATCTCCGCCTGGGCTTTCTTTTGAACCTCAGGAAATTGGACCAAGGCATGGATGCACGAATTGATTACTGAAGAAGAAGTGTCCGATCCGCCTTCCATGGCTACACCGCCGAGGAAGTAGAGCTGATGATCGCTGAGCCCGAGTTTGCCATTCTGATCGAGAACCTTATCCATGAGGCACTTCAAACTGCCGCTGGTCTGTCGACGGCGCATTACGTGTCGCAGCATGTCACCATAGAGGCTTTCCATTTCTCTCTTGACTGCCTGAGTTCGAGACCACCAGTTGCCGAAGAATCGTTCCGGGATGAACTTGAGAAAAGGGAAGGCGTCTATTGGTGGTGTCGCTCCAATTTCCAAGATCGAGGACCAGTGATCCATGAGCTCGTAGAGTTTCTGCATATGAGGCGTATCAAATGAAGGCGTTCGCACACCGTAAACTGCACGAAAGGGGAAAAAAGAAAGTTAGCAAACCATGATCATCACTCCTTATTTGGGTTGGATTCTACCCACGGAGACACATGATGATGCTATTGCTGTATCTCTTGGAATGTAACATGTGCTCTTCCGGAAACAAGAGGAAGTCACGTAGCATCTGAATCGCTTCGGCATTCTGCGTGTGAATGTGTTCCTTGTCACACTTGGATGCCATAAATTCCTGATGCAACAATTTCCGAAACGTTCGCCATTGCGGTCCAGCATCCATTATCAACAGATGATCGCCACCTGTGATGGTGCGGGCCACAAATGATTGTGGTCGATTGCTGGATACGGCGCTGTTCTTGTCCAGTACCTCTTTGATTATCCGTCGGTCATTGAGGATAATAATCGTACTCGACCCCACTTTGAGAGAAAACATGCCACCATACTTCTTGGCCATTTCAATGAACCTGGTAGAGATGTCAGTCTCAAAGGGCTTTCGGCTGCGAGATTGCCCTAGGATTGAGGGTTTCGGTTCTTACGTAAAGTGCGCTCCCTTGCGAGGAATCAGATGGGCGTTGCCAACGATGGGTAGTGTTGGTGGCCCTGCAAAAGCGTTTCATTCAAATCAGTCCCTTTGTGTCGTCAATGCTTGGAGTCAGGCTTCTCACCAGGTGGAAGGTTCCTCTCTCTTCGGCCAACGGTAAGGAAGGCATAGAGGACTCCGATGACGGCTAATATAACCGGCAGAGAAAGAATGGGTGGCGACATGGTTGATGCGCGAGAGAATCATGTGCACTGTAAAAGGGTTTTTTTTTTCATGATATTGCATTCTAGCACAATTGCCAGCTGATTTTAAATACGTTCCTACCTCCCCCTAAGATAAAGTTAGTATGAAAAACCTTACCCCACATTTTTGGACAAAAATCATAGAACCTTTGGTGCAAGGACACCGGGCCGTCTCCCCTTCGAGGATCGGACAGCATCGGTGACTTGCCTGTCAAGGAAGTGCCGTCCTCATTGAGTCTTGAAGATAGCGACATGCAGGACGGGGGTGTGCTGGAAACGTCCGGACAGTAAAAAGACCCGCACCATGGAGAATTTAGGGTCTACTTGCATTCCGCGAGACAGAGAGCAATCTACTGCCATGAACCCGCGCCTGCTCGAACCAGTAGGCAGGGCAGGGCATTCTACCCTGCCGCGTCTGGATTGCGTAACTCTTCCTGCTTTGGAAATCAACTATCTTCTCCTCCCCAATCAGCACAGCTAGTCAATGGCTGCGACATGTGCATTGATTCGTCTCAAATGTCACATAATCTGTGTGGTACTAGAGTAGCTCCATCGGTGCAGCTTCTTTCAGAGGGCTCCCGAACTGGTTTGAGACCGAGACATAACGCTTACTACTGGATGATGTTTTTTGCCCCCGTAAATCCACCTAGACTTCAGCAAAGCAACGGCCGATCTTCTCAATTAAAGTCCAGTTGCACTGAAAGAGCCGGCGGGGACTAACCAGGGTTAACCATGGTTGATGGGGACGGGCAATCGCCCGTTAGGGTTACAGACCGGCCGTTCCGCCACGTAGCGGGGACTAACGGGGTTAACCACGGTTGATGGGGACGGGCAATTGCCCGTTATGGTTACAGACCGGCCGTTCCGCCACGTAGACGGGGGAAAGCTTAATGCATTGATATAGTTATTATAATACGACGAGGGAGTCCAGCTTATGTAGGCTGCCCTCCCCAATGATATTTTCGTATTTATTCACAAGTGATCTTGACTGCGTCGAAGACAACCTCTTAGGAAAAAAAAAGAATCGTGCTCGATCGTTCTTATAACATGGTGCGAAGTAACTTCTCATGACCACAATTATCGAGGCAAATGTGGCTAATGATGATAAAAAGGGTTCCCTCACGGAAGACAACAGCAGACCAGCTCTTGCTCAGGCCCCTGTGCTTGTGGTAGGCGCTGGTCCTATTGGGCTGGTGACAGCGTACCAGCTAGCGAGGCGTGGAATCCGCACCGTCCTCGTCGAAAGGAATCATGAAACGACCAGATGGCCCAAAATGGACATTACCAATGCGCGCTCGATGGAGCTTTTGGCTCGACTTGGCTTAGCAGAGAAGCTTAGGAAACAAGGTGGGTGGTCCCGCCTGTCAGCGCTGGCTCGTTGTTCCTAAAACGTGGGATTTGTTAGGCGTTCCGCAGCAATTCTCCCTGAACTGTCTGTTCAGTACAGGACTCTCTGATGGAGGAGAAGTTATTGCCAAATGGGTGAGTTCTTCATCTTTCTCTTTCGAGCAAAGTAAAGAAGAAAAGGAGCAACAACAAGAGCTTACGCGTTTTACTCTAGGATCTCCCCTCGCCCGAAAATATGTGGCAACAAATCAATGAGAAGAATGACGGAGCTCTGCCCAGTCAAGCTTATTTGCGTTGCTCGCAGAGCATATTCGAGGCCTGGCTCAAACCTATTGTGGAAGCGGAGCCTTTGGTCGAATGCTTTTCAGGAATCAAATTCCAGTCCTTCAAAGAGTTGGATGATCGGGTAGAATCTGCCGTCACGAACGTAGATTCTGGGGTTGAATACATCATTTCCAGCCAGTATGTGATCGGGTGCGATGGGGCAGGAAGCCGGGTGAGAAAATCAGCTGGGATTGAGCTCACTGGTACTCCAATGTACGTGTGTGTCCATCATATCACTCTAATATCTACAGAATATTAATGCGAATTCGCATTATAGCTCTGTGCCGACACTGCTAGTGCACTTCAAGTCCAAAGATCTGGACGTCCTTCATCGACAGGGACAGTTCTGGCACTTATTTCTGTCTCAGGGTGCGGTCGTCATCAATCAGGATGAAAAGGATACATGGACAATGCACATCCCCTTGCCATCCGAAGCTGACATAAACGATCTCAATCCTGAAGAGATGGTATATGCCGCGCTGGGGGACGCTGGGCCCCCACAAGAATTCAGAATCGACCAGATCCTTGTCACCAGTACGTGGAGGGCCAACCTATCGGTTGCAAACCAATACCGGTCCAAGGGGAAAAGGGTGTTTCTGGCGGGAGACTCAGGTAATAGCCCCTTGAGAAGCCAAAAAACTACCTTAAATATTGTGACTCACGCGGACCAACAGCACATCAGAATATTCCATTCGGAGGATATGGCATGAACACGGGTGTGGGAGACGCATATGATATTGGCTGGAAACTAGCCGCGTTTCTCAACTCTCAAGGGGGTGAAGCCTTGCTAGACTCGTACGAGATCGAGCGCCGCCCTGTTGCCCTTCGGAATGTTGCCATGTCCGGCAGCAATGCGGAGGTTCATTTGAAGTACGTCACATGGGTTCGCCAGGAGACCCCGGGTCTCATTCGAAGTAATACCCTAGAGGGGAGGAAATTCCGTGACCGCATCCGCGCACATGTCCTCGCAAACGATGGGGAGAACAAGTCTCTTGGGATCGAGATGGGATATCGAAACGATATGTCTCCTGTCATTGTCTATGACAGCAGAGCTCAAAAGGAGCCAGAATGGACTCAGCGAAATTACTATCCTTCAACATGGCCGGGGGCCCGAGCACCCCACGTCTTCCTCAGCGACGGTGTAACTTCGATCTATGATCTCTTGGGCCTTGACTATACCCTGGTTGATTTCACGGCTGATGGTTTGAATGCAAAAAAGTTCGCTACCATCGCGATTCAGCTCAAGGTACCACTATCGACGGTTCATCTTCCGGATGAAGCACATGTCCGTCAGATCTGGGAGCGGGACGCGGTTCTGTTAAGGCCGGATTTGCACGTTGCCTGGCGCGGTGATGGGGATCAGCCTCCAAAAACAACTGCAATTGAAGATATCCTTCGCACCAGCGCTGGAAAACAGATCAATTGACCTGCCAGTTCTCCCCAACTGCTGGGGTGGGGGCCGCCACATTCTCGGCAGCCAGATCTTCGACTACTGGTAAGAAACCATCTTCTCCAGCTAACAATGAGACTAATAAAAGTATGATAGAATTTGGCACCGGTGGTGGTAATATTATGGAACGCTATGCTGATGGGAACTTGGTTAAAACCACCGTCTCTCCCTCGTACTCCGGTATCTCCAAATTCACTGTATGTCTGTGGTTCATTACGGACAAGATGGAGGATGCGGAAAAACCAGATTTTCACCTAGTAAAGAATTGTACGGCTCACCATAGGTTGAGGAGGGGATAAAACAATGTATGAGCACTGCATATATTAGAGTCCTTACGTTGAAGCAAATACGACCATCCTGTTGTCGTGGCGGTTTATCTTACTGAAATTACGTGACCTAGTGAATGTGCAGTGAGCGCCAGCATTGGTGAGCTTGCTGAAAGTGGGAACGGTCAATTACCATATCAGGTAGTTATTGGTCGGAAAATAGTCTAGCTGGGGCTTAACCAATATGAACAACATCAACATACATACTACATAGTGCAGAATGGAAACAGGAAAATAGGAACCGTGTACGACTCATAGATTCATCTTTATGCACATCTTCAACCAGCAGCATGTACATACTATCGGGTGCTGACGAGTGGAGTCTCACCCGATGATTATTAGTCATAAAAATACTAGTGGGATCCTCATTTTGTGGTGGATCGCCACGGGAGGCGAAAAGTCATGCTGGACACGCCATGTGGGGTGCGGGGTTGCGGGAATTGCTCCGCGGTTCCTTTTTAAGCACTGCAATGCTGCATCAGCCAGATGCGTTCACTGTTCTCACTCTCTGTTAGAAAATACCCTTTTCAAATCTGACAAGCATGGGCGATAACAGCATCAATTTTGGAGTTCTTTCAGGCCTCCATTACACCCCATGTTCAACCGGTTCATCGGGCAGACCCTCCTTACGACGCGCCTGTGATAAATGCCGTGGAAAAAAGACACGGTGCGATATGCTCCATCCAAAATGTTCTCTGTGCTCTCGGATTGGCAGCAAGTGCACATACAGTCCAGGAGAGAGCGAGCGAGACTGTCGTCAAAAGTACGTGGGCGCAAGCGACCTCTCCTTGGCCCCAAAGAACAAGGCAAAGAATGACCACATTGCAACCGACGAGTTCGATATGTCGCTTTCTGATGTACAATATTTTGATACCTCCGTCGCTGGGTTCCTGGATTCGACCGATGGATTGCTGGGGCTGAGTCCATTGGTGGACGAAACGACCTGGCTAGATACAATATCCCCGGGCTCAGTGTACCAGTTCGGACAAGACTTTGACAATGATCGGCTCAGCTTATCGCCTGATGATCGCTATGGCCTAATGATTTCTTCGTCTCTTGCGGATGAGCTCATTCACATATATTTCGACAAAGTACAAGCCTTCTGTCCTCTTTTCCTACGCACCAAATTCGATCAAGACCTATCGTGGAATCACATGGCCAACCGGGATCAACGACATCCTGGGTTATCTCCTGTCTACCAGTTTATTCTTAACGGAATGTTCGCCCTTTCTGCGAGATTTAGCAATGCCCCAGAGTTTATCGGCATCGATCCGACGTGTCGCGGTCAAATATTTGTGAAAAGAGCCACCAAACTTTGGGAATGGATATCCAGAGACTTCAAGCATTGCCTTCGTACTCTACAATGTCTTCAAGGCCTTATTCTTTTGACATTCAGCTCTCTTCTGTCCGGCCCTTCAGAAGATGCGTGGATTCAAAGTGGAACTTGTGTGCGTCTCGCGTACGATTTGGACCTTCACACTACTGATGCCCACAAACAAACCCTTCGTGCCAGCTCGCCGCTACAGCAAAATCAGGAAGCGTGGGTTCTCCTCGAAGAGAGACGTCGTGCCTGGTGGATGGTCTGGGAGATAGACACATTCTCATCCGCTGTGTCCCTACGACCGTTCGCTATTGATAGTCGCTTTATTCACGTCCTACTGCCGGTGTCGGATGATGACTGGAATAACAAAGCTCAAGCACCGTCGGCATTACTCAATGCAAATGGCGGGATGCCATGGAAGCATCTAGCCGAGTCTTCGAACCGGAGCGAAAGAGCGTGGTTCTTGGTTTGTCTGGCTGTCTTCAGACAGGCGTGCGACGCAGCTGTCCCACCAGGACCTTCTGTACAGATGCTTCATCATGCAGAGGCGGCAATCGGATGTGCGTTCCTTGCGTTGCCTCCTTCGTTTCAAGATTTTTCTATGTCGGCTGCATCATGTCATACCAGTTATGTAACACTTAACTGGATTGCGTGTTCTCTGATTGTCTTGAATTGGTACGCTCTATGCCCGGTGTCGAGTTCGACAATTTTTACTTTGGTTTGGCATGGCTGACGTCGTAACTTCTTTCCTAGTGCTCGAACCCTACTGATGCTCAAACAAAATGAGACTCCGGGAAACGATGTCGCGCTACAACCCCCAGATGTTCGACCCCCTCGGATTTATCTCCCGACTATCATAGAAGTATACCGCGCCACGCAGCTTCTATCTCCGCAGTACTTGCCTCTATGTTCACCATTTATATTCTGTGCCCTCGTCGGTCCGGGGACTGTCCATGTTCCGGATGATCGCGTGCCCATCGAATCGCAGTCGGCGTCCCTGTACGCCGAGACCATCAGACTGGTTCTGTCTAACGTCGCGCGACACTGGTCGATTGGGGGAGTCCTTTTAGGTAAGCTATTGTCTACTACTGTCTTGAGTGACTCTGGCACTGAACCATATTGGGATGTTAGACGTCGTCGATTACAAGAAGTCCAGCAAACCGGCTAGCCCGGACGAGAAATGCTCTAAAAATCCTTTTATTCCAGAATGGCGGGCTTTGGTTGATGGAATATTCTAGCTGGCTTCTAATATGTTCCATCGTCCACTCTGGCCATCGACTAATCTATATATCAACCTTCTTGAAGGCGACTTCAGACAGAGAAAAAAATTATTTCATGTCTCTTGTCACAAACCAAAGGCTCCTTTACAATTCATACCAATGTGATGCCGCCAAATGAAAACTATATCAGTCCATAAAGATTAGTCTTAGACCTCGGGAAGCAGGTTACTAAGAGGTAAGAATTTACTTACAGAGACTTGCTCTCTGGATCACAGACTATATTAGGTGGGCCAGCAGGAGCTGGCTAGGTGCGGCTCTCTCATCCTCCAAACCTCCAGCATAATTGCTATCGTGGGAAGGCATACTTGGTCATGGATATTTTTAAGGCCAATCTTCCCAAAGCCGGCCCGCTAGGCAGCAGGGATATAAGCTACTACAAATACAAATAGCTGCATCTCTTTATACTTACAAAAATATCATACTTTCACCTCAATCCAATTTTATCATCGACGAGGGGCCAGGGAAATGATATTTCAAAGATATACACACACACATATACATACTGTACCTCCAAGCGATAAACCAAAAATATTACACCTCCTAGTTAAATAACGAGTCGACAAATACAGTGGTAGTACCTAGAAAGTGGTATATTATAGTAGGTGTCTAATTAAGATACAGTACGATCACTGGCCTCAAATATTATAAGAAAAGCAGATAACACCAGACTTAATATTCGCGAAACATAAGGTAACTGACTTATAGTAAAACTGCTAAGCTAAGGAAAGGGGGAGATTTAGGACAAAACAAAAAGTTTATTAATCACTTATGTCCTTATATACCGAGTGAACTGAAATCTAGAGGACCAAAAATGACAATTCTTAGAGTAGCCACACAATGACCGCTGACTGCCTTTATATCGGTCGGAACCTTGATCAATAAATCCGAAGAGGTCGCCGTAGTCGAGGTTGACGTTCGACGTGGTTAATTCCGCTACTATAGCGATTATATAGCCGGGTATAGCGTTAGATAAAGTTAGCGCGGGTCCTATACTCAAAGCCAAGATCTATGTACTGCTACTGACGGTATAAGAGCTACTTTTTTAAAGAGATGTATCGATACTATAGCTCGCTTTATCTCCCTACGCGTTATAAAAGTAGAGGAAACCACTCTGATACACTTTATGTAAAGAGTCTACGTGTTCAGGGTAGAAGGCCTATCAGTTAGGTAAGGAAGGATATCTGGACTAGAGTCTAGTATTAAAAGAAGTAAGACTAATTCTTACTAAGTCTAAGTTATCTGGAAACCCTTTAGATTTAAATATAAATCGGGTCCGAGACTTACTTATTATACTATGGGGTGAACCTTCACCGGTAGTCTGTTACAGACCAAGTCGAAGACGAATTCGTGTATCATTAACAAAAGTAACTAAACTGGAGAAGAAGAAGAAGAGAGAAGAGAGAAATAAGTATCTACGAAATAAAACCACTTTAATCCCGAATCGGGTTAGACCTATGGCTCTTTCTAGATTACTATTTTACCCTAGGCCTCCCTTAGGCCTTAAGATAGCTATATATTATATAGTCTAGACCTGGCACTCACCCCGGGTGACCGTTCCAGACCCTCCACCCGCACCTCCTCTTAGCGGGTGGAGGGTCGATTTCTAGACCCTAGGGGTCGGGCACCTATATATCCGACCCTCCGAGGGTCACCCTTAGGGTTACCCTTAGGGTCTATAAATAGGATAAATAGGTAGAAAACGTGACTTACTTATTTATATATAAGTTATATAGATTCCGGGGGGTTTTCTATATATTTATTAGTAATTTTTAATACTAAGTAGTTTTCGTTTTATGATAGCTATTATTATTTAGGGGTATTTTATTATAGCGTTACCTTTTCTAATAGCTATTATTATTTAGGGGTATTCTATTATAGCGTTACCTTTTTTGATAGCTATTATTATTTAAGGGTATTCTATTATAGTGTTACCTTTTTTAATAGCTATTAAAAAAGGGTATTAGGGACTAAGAGCTATAATATAAGTAAATTCTAGTAGTTATTAGAAATAGGCTTCTTTAGCTATAATATTAGCCTTTATAAAGTTAGAGAAAAATATCGTATAATTAGATTAATATATAGAATAAATAATAAATTATTAAGACCTAAATATATAACTATTAAGTAGCTTTAAGCGCTTACGCTTCTTACTAAATATATATATTATTAGATATTAGGTAGAGGAAGGTTAGTATTATTATTATTATTTTTATTATAATCTATAATCTTTATCCCTTTAAGATTAGCTATCGTTATATAAGACTATAAAAGGGACTTCTTATCCTAAGCTTATATATTATTCTCCTTAATATTGAGATTCTGGAGGTGGGAAAGTGTGTTCTATTCAGTAAGTGTACGAGGGAGTAGATATATAGTAGCCGTGCGGACTAATATAGGTTCGTACGGCAGAAAAAGTTAGGTAACGTAACTATTCCCCCCCCTAATAAGAAGGCCTTATTATTATATCCTCCCTTACTAAGTAGGATTATATCCTTATAATCTTAGGTATATATAAGATCGGACCTAAGAGTCCTAGTTAGTTTCTTAATATAATATAAATAGAGATTATTAATAAAAGAAATATATTAAGGACCGGAATATTTATTCCTAACTATAACTAAATATTTCCGATAAGTGCTAAAATATTAATAAAATAATAATATATAGGTCCGGGTATAAATAAGTATTGGAATATAGACCAATGCTACATAGAAAGATCTATCCTTATATTCAACATATAAGACCAGATTGTATTGATCACGTGACCAGATTTTTTCCTTCTATCAAAATGATATTTTGACCACTTCTGATTCTGGTCCGCGGCCCTCTCCCGAATGATAGGCAGGACCATTTTCCTTCAGAGGTAAATGGTCCGCCTTTAGACATGAATGGTCCGTTCCTTCGGAGGTGCCTTCGGGCATATCTTGCCCGCGGACTTCGACCATGGTCTTCGAACCTCGGTGAACAGACTTCGACCCTCAGTCCCCTCAAGGATAGGCGGACCACTTTCCCTTAAGGATAAAATGGTCCACCTTTGGGTATGCATAACCAGATACTGCGGGGAAGCTTTCGGGGTGGCTGAAACCGTCGATCCTTGATATTATTCTTTTGGCTTTTCTTCGGTTCCCTTCTTTGCCACCTTTATTATGTTGCTATCTAGTATTTGTATAACATTCTAGACATCATTTCTAGGCTATTCTAGCCTATAAATATGTCCTTCTTTTCTAGCAGAAAGAATCAAGTCAGTTCTACTTTCCTGAAGTCATTTTCCACTTTCCAAAAAGTTATCTCTACCTTCTTCCTTTGATCCTCAGGACTATGGTTCTGTCTTCGTTTAGGCTATATCTGCTTATAGTCTATCCTACGACCTTTGACCTTCTTCCTTTGTCTGGCACCGACTGACCTGGCCGGACTAAGGTTGATCCCACGGACTTAAGGGGCCACGATCTGCTTCGTGGTAGCTTTCCCCTTATGCTCTAACAATAAGGGAACGAACACGCGTAGAGTTATTATATTAATTAGTCGCGTAGGGTATAAATAACTAATATATTATAGTAAGAGAGGGTCTAGATAAGTATATTAATCGCGGGCGATTAGGGCCGCGCGTATTCTATTAATAATTAAGCTTCGCTAATCAGATATATCTAAGATAGATTATATCTGTTATAGCGGTATTATTTATTATAATAGAATTAACTAGATTAGTAGGATTATAAAGATTAATAGGATTAATAAGATTATAAAGATTAATAAGATTATAAGAATTAATAGGATTAATAAGATTATAAAGGCCCGATTAGGAAATCACTTAAATATATATATTTATTATAAGTGAGGATATAGGCGCGTAACTTTTTGGCCCTTCTTCTTTTTTCTTCTTACTCTCTCTAACCTATTTATTTCTTTACTATTCTATTCTCTTTTATGCTTATTCGCCTATTTTTAGGTATCTCCTGGCTAATATCTAGTATTTATTTTCGCTTATAAGTTTACTATAAAAAAATATTTTTCTTTTTATTTTCGCGCGTTATAGCTACTCTGACTAACTCTCGTTATACCTGTAGCCGCCTACGCCTTAGTCCTAATCCTCCTCTTATTTCTTTAGTTGCCCCTATTTTGTAAAGGAATACTGAGGACTAGCGGTGAAGGTTTGCCCCGCAGTGGGATAAGCAAGTCTCGGACCTAATTCGTACTTAAATCGAGAGGGTTTCCAATTAATCTAGACTTAGCAAGAATTAGTCTTGCTTCTATAATACTATACCTAGTCCAGATATCCTTCCTTACCTAACCGATAGGCTTTCTATCCTGAATACATAGATCCTTTATAATTCTGATTCTTCTTTTATCGGTTACCTAAGGAAGTATGTCTGTTAACGACCGTGTCCTCCGCTCCCGCGTCGCTACCGAAGGCGACGACACGCCTATATCGCACGAGGCTATTGCTACGTCCTAG